AAGGCTATAGCCGGATAAGATGGTCAAAAGTGCCCCTGCACCAATCAGCACCGCGACTAGTGCTTTCAATAAAGCATATAAAAACATGACTCCATACCAATTTTTAGCTTCCCAGAGGCCATAGAACCTCTTAAATCTAAAAAAGAAGCTTTTTTCAAATTTATTTTATTCTGGATGCAATTTTGCTTAAAAAAATCTGAAAAAATTCATGAAGATGTATCTTTCGAATACAAAATAGCCTGATTTTTTTCAAATATTTATATTGAAAATTGAGCCTATGAAAAATCATTGAAATTTTCAATAAATTCTTAGGTTATGTTAATAATTTTTTACTAACTTTTAAATAGTATTTATTTATGTGTTTTTTTTTCGTTCTTTTGAATGGTCAAGGCAGAATTTTTAATTTCTGAGCGAAAAGTATCGAAAAATCAAAAAAACCGTTTTTTACTCATTTATTGCACATATCCTCAAAACTTAGTTGGTAATTCAACATTTTTTCAACATTTGTTCTTCCACATTATCAAATTCTATTGTAAAAGTCCCCATTTAACTCTCTAAGATAAAATTCAAAAATACCACATTTTTTTATCCTTTTCGCACTTTTTTACCTTACCTCAAAATCAGATAGTTAGATGTATGGTTTTCCATCTATTTTCTTACGGGCTATGAATGATCATTGTTAAAATAATCATTTTTAACTTACAAATTCCTAAATTGTAAAAAAAATCGTGTTTTTCTAATATATTCCCACTTTATTGGCTCTTCTATTTTGTTTTCAAACTTGAAAAAAATTGCTTCTAAGCATTATTTCTATTTTTGGCACGTTAATTGCATAAAGTGATATCTAGGATGACCTCAATAGGACAAAATTATTATTATTATTTTTTAAATATTTTTTTAACATTGTAAAAATTGTTTTATAAATTCATTTGGATATAAACGAGGACATATATAAAATATTTGGTTACAAAAATATTTATTATTATGAAATTGTTATACAATAGGTTATTGTTGTTTAAACATTCAATTACATTTTAGTCCCCATCACTATTCTCATGTATGACTGGTTCAACATCAGATGTAAAAATTTCTGATAGAATTTTTGCTGGTCTTATGATTCTCGATTTATATCTTGCATTACTGGGATAATATATGACTGTGGCTTTATGAGAACATGAACCCACAGTATGTAACCCATTTGCACAGTCACATGTGTGGAGCAAAATACTACCATATCCACTTGAATCAGGTTTATACTCAATGTAGCACTTATAGGTCTTACTGCTTATATGCCTGGATCTTATCAGTACTTTAATAATACTTGGTTTCATTGTAATATACTCCAAATTAATGTTATTAGTGTCATCCATCAACTCAGCCAAATAGCAAATGGCTTGACTTAACTGATAGGTTCCCGAAAAAAAAAAAAAAAAAATTTGAGATCCCTTTCAGTCATCTCTGGAAAATGAATGATTTCTTACAATGTCAGCTTGGTCGTTGACCACCTGGCTGTCTCAGCTACTAATGCTGAAGTAGTCTCACCTTGATTAGATTTATTAATTCTTTCAATTATTATATCCTGTTGTAACTTATAATTTTGATCACTATTCAAACGCTTACCTAATAAATTGTTAATAAAACATGCTACTTTACAATATGCACCAGCTTTTGGTATAAGTTTATTATCTAATTGTTGATGAAAAAGCTTATATTTTTTGCCAAGAATTCCATGAATGGCTTCTACAACCCATCTCAATTTAGTTACAAAGCGTGATTCATTTGATTCAGTCGTGGTCAAATTGGATCTTTTTGCTTTTAAAGGTCGATCAGACACATCAGTCCCGTCATAGTCTCGGCGCCGAACCGGTCCTGTTTGGTCACAGAACTATCAACTATCTGACAGCTGGGAAACTGTTTGTCAACTGATGAGTGTGAATGCCGGCAACATATTTGTATTAAAGAATATTTTGTATGACGGATTGTTCGGTTAGGCGCAATCACTGTGACGAGACGTGACTGATGTGTCTGAATCGACCTTAAGGCAGGCATAAGAATAAGAAACAATGTCTGCAACGCGCATACACCCATTGCCGTTGTCACCACTGCTTTCGTCTTAGTGTCGCCGTCACCTTCATATCGCTTTTTTAAACTTCTAAACTACTTCAATAATTTCAATATGACTCCAAATTTTCGATATTAACTCGCAACGGATTTTAGGGGCAAAGGGATCATATATCCCATAGGGGCGCTCTATTATCTAGCAACTTATTTATTTTAATGAACATTTGGCACTAGACTATATATAGGCAATATGCATTATCAGCTAAGGCTTAAGTACAAAAAGTGATATGCGATTAAAAGCGATAAAATCAATTGTTGAGGAAGGGTCAATCTTAAGTAGGTAAGATAATAAAAAGGTCAAAGACAAGTGGTAAGTATAACAAAATTGAAGGGTGCGATAAAAAAAACGCAGGGAATTTGATCATTTAGCTACTAGATTTTAAGGTTGAGCCAATAAAGTGGGAAAATATTAGAAAAACACGATTTTTTCGCAAATTTGAGGATTTGTAAGTTAAAATAAATAAATATTTTAACCATAACCATAAAAGTGTGAAAAAACTAAAAAAAACTTGGTATTTTCGAATTTTATATTTATGAAAGAGTAAAATGGGGACTTTTACAATAGAATTTGATAATGTGGAAGAAAAAATGTTGAAAATGTTCAATTACCAAATGAGTTGTTTTGAGGTTATGTGCAAATAAAGGGGTAAAAAAACGTTTTTTTTTTTTTATTTTTCGATGCTTTCCTGCTCAGAAATTGAAAATTCTGCCTTAGCCATTCAAAAGAACAAAAAAAAATACATAAAAAATTACTATTTAAAAGTTAGCCAAAGATTATTAACATAACTTATTAGAAGAAATTATTGAAAATTTCAATGATTTTTCTAGGCTCAATTTTCAATATAAAAATTTGAAAAAAATCAGGCTATTTTGTATTTGAAAGATACACCTTCATTAATTTTTTCGGATTTTTTAAAGTGGAATTGCGTCCAGAAAAAATTAAAGTCGAAAAACGCTCCTTTTTTTAGATTTAAGAGGTTCTGTGGTCTCTGGGAAGCAAAAAACTTGTATGAAGTCATATCTTTATACTCTTTATCGAAAGCACAGATCAAGCGTGTGATCGATGCACGGGGCACTTTTGACCATCTTAGACCATCCCACTATAGCCTTTACAGGAAGTCATCCCATACTTGCAACAACTGACAAAATCGCAACCTTGAGAAACAGATAAGCCATTGAGAAACAAAAAATTCATTTATTTTGAAGGGACAGCAAAGCTAATATGGTGGTAAATATGGAAAAATAAACAGTAAAAACAGAAAACAGAAAAAAATAGGTTATAAGAAGTTGATTGTAAACAGGAAGGAATGGATATGGGATGGAAAATTGGGACATAAAATGTTAGAAGTACTTATGAAGAGGGAAACTTAGAGCAAATTAGCTATTTGGCTACAAGATCAGGGCCAGTAAGTCAGTCACCTGACAAATTTGGCTAAACAAAGAACCAATTAATAAACAAGTGCAGCTTACAACAACTCCTCATTTGAAAACAATTTCCACAGTGGAAATTGAAACGTCAAAAACAAATGTATAATGAAAATTTTATTACAGTCCATTGAGGCTTAAATACAATATTTAACTTGAATATGCCACAAGAAAAAAAGTAGCTCTATATATAATCAGTTTTGAAAATATTTGTATATAGTAACACTTTAACATAATTAAGGTTTGATCTTATGTTTGGTCAGTATTAGTCTAAAGCAATGAAAAAGTGCAAACATCTGGAACTTGTGGTCCCCTCTATATAAATAAATAGGAGATATAATAATTACATTTTAACTACTGTTAGTGGGGGCAAAAATATAGAAATCAATAAATTGTGGAATAAAAAATTATTATTGGGGTATTGCAGATTCCGTTCAACAACAAACTGTGTGTTAACATGTATTGTACTGACTCATCTTAAACTTTAACATCTGACATTCAATACTTTGAAGAATTTTGTAGAAAGTGTGTCAATTAATAACCGTTAAACAACCTAAGTCAATGTTAAATCTAACTTATGATTATAAATTTATATAATTAATGCCAAGGTAAATGAAGTCATTATCAGATATTAATTCCACACAATTTTCCTATTGGAAACACCAACAAATAAATGATACAATTGTAAGGTTAGGTGTATCAACGAAAATTGTTGTAATAAAAAAAATACTTACTATCAACAAAATCTAATTAAACACTACACATATCCTTATAAAGCTTTAAAATTAAATATTACTGTTACTTTTTTGAAAATCGTAAAATATTCTGTAACACAACCTTCTTGACAGTACTGACATCTGACACTGACACCTGACACATTATTATTTGGCATTTGGATTTCCTATTTCATTTGCATTTGACACAAACGATGTATAGTTGGTTATCACGTTACATTTTTACAGAAAAAAAAATTATATTCTAAAATCGGGATAATTTGTAAAATAATAATGCTATAATAAAACCGTACACGATCATAAGGTAGAAAGGTCTTTGATTAATTGTATAATAATGCTATTAATAAAATCGGTGACTGTACATCTTTACTGACGAAAATAGAAAGATTTAGAACGAAAAAATTGTAACCTTAGTAATAGAAACAGATTTAAATAATTGTTTTCATGTTTAAATAAGATAACTAGACTACCTACTTAATTATCACAACCGTTTTATTTCAAAATGTTCTGAATTTTTAGAGCTTAGATAGAGACCACCATTATTATAAGTAGCCACCTTTGTCAAACAGTAATGACATAAGTAGATCAGCTGTAATGTCAAAAATGTTTTGCTGTGGTCATGTCATTAACTAAAAACTATGTCATAAACATATAGTCATATTTACATTTTCTGCATAGTCATAATTGATTAATTGATTCTTGTTTGTTCATTGAATCAACAGTCACATAAAGTTTATTCAGTACTTATTAGATACTCATATAAAAAAATGGCAGATTATTTTGGAGAAATGGGGTGGACTCCCCTTGAAGATGGACAAGCACCTGATTATTTTTTGCATCTAGCCCGTTTGTTAAGAGACTTTAACATGTTCGAAGAGTTAAACGTGTTGAATGGCAAAAAGTTAGCACCTCCAGCCTCAAAAGATTTTGTGGCAGCCATTCCAAATGAAAATATTGAGAGCAATGGTAAGTAAGTTATCCTAGTAAGTAAAATATGACAGGCAGTTAAAAAAATTGTATTGTACTTTGTAGATGTTATGCTAAAAAAATGGTAGGTTATTGATTACTGCATTATTTTTTACAATCTAAAGGGCAACTAAACTTATAAACTTTGTGTATTTTAGATTTACAATGTCCAGTTTGTCTTAAAGAACATAGTAAAGGAGAAACTGCAAAGAAATTGCCTTGTGGTCACTTATTTCATAAGGAGTGCATTATGCCTTGGTTATCAAAGGTGAGTTTATAATATTCAATATTAAAATTTCTTACAATAACTGTCATTAATAGGCTAAATATATTAAATGTGTTGTAGTAAATTAACTCCAAATGATTTTTTGGTTGCTGTGGAATATAATAAGAATGAAAATGATATAAAGTCCCAAACAAAACAATTACAAATAGCAACCAGAGCACACTCTACATAATCCAATCAAAGGTATGGAATGCCAATGTGAGACCAAAGACTTTCTAAACAAGTTTTACCATTATGCATTATGCAAGTAATAACATTGCTTTTGTTTTTTCTTAACAAAAACTATCTAAAGATTCTCCAAAACGATTATTACGAAGATAACTGGTTTCTTATTCATACAAGTGGGACACCTGTACTCAAATGAGACAAAATTAGCCATGATAGAAAATATTGATACATTCCCGGCAAAGTAATGTAACTGACATTTTTTGGCGAAAAACTAACGCTATTATTGTTAAAAAGGTACTGCCAAAGTGTAGTAAGCCTAGAATTACTTTAAACCTTTTTTAGGACAAGTTTTTTCAGTCATAATTTAATTAAGTTTAACCAGGTTGAATTAAAAAATTATTTTTTCTACAAATCGTTTTTGGTGACTTACGTTACTTTGCCAAAAATGTATAGATATGTATCATCTGTGTATTGTGTTTCTTTAAAATACTTACGTTTTTACCAATAACTGTTTCATTCAGATGGTTTTTTTCTATTTTACTGCTACTTTGTTCGTGCCTTGTGAGTCTATATTTTTATTTTTCTTAATACAGTTTTTTGTTATAGACAAATTCATGCCCGTTATGCAGATTTGAGTTACCTACTGATGACGAAGATTATGAAGCTTGGAGGAAAGAGAAGAAAACGAGCAAAGGAACGAGAAGCTGATATTGAACATTTACATAATTCAATGTTTTCTTGAAATATGATAGAAATAACATTTTGTGTGTGATTTACAGCACAGATGGGTTTTAATTGCAATTTATACTTTAGAAAGGAGTTATTTATAAGTGAATTATAGAAGAAATATATGTTATAATTTATACCAGATGTTTCATTTATTGGTAATGATGGTTGTGCCCATTAAATTGATAAATTTCAATGATATCACAGTGGACTATCAAAAATTAAATGTCATATCTATCTATAGCCCCGAGGACTGCAAACCTAAGGAGGAACTAGAGGCATTCTACGAACAATTGCAAACCATACTGGATAAAATACCTCATGAAGAGCCCTTAATTCTTATGGGTGACTTTAATTCACGAATCGGAAAGGAAATAGTTCCAAGAGTAAAATAAAGATTTTATGAAAACCATGTTAACACAAATGGAGAACTCTTGCAAACTCTCTAAACATACAAAAATTCCAAAAAGATTTACTTATCAAAAAAAAACTCTAAAGAACATTTTGTCTAAAAATTCAGAATTTTTCTTCTACTTTTACCGTCATATCCTTTACATATTTAATATTATAGTACTAATACACAGGTGTCTCTCAGAAGCAAAAGCAAGAACAGTGGATGTTCAGCATATTAACTGAATTGTTCATGTACTACAATATTATAATTTTGATAGGAAACAGTATTCCAGCTAAAATTAGATTTGGCCATACTGATTTGTCAACACTAAAGTCCTTCTTTCTTCTTCAGCCTGTATTCGTCCACTGCTAGACATTGGCATCTTCCTTTTGCTTCCATTGATTTCTACTCTTGACAATTCTCATCCACTGCTTGCCCGCCACTTGTTTGATCCAAACAGCACAGTACAATTTTGAGTACGTACAATTTTGGTACATACCAGTACTTACAGAAGAGTATGTACTATTAGGTCTTAAGTATGTACCATGAGAAAGAAGAGCTAAAGCATATTTATTATGTTAGGTTATGTTAACCTAACCTAATTTATTTGATTAGGAATTGTCCACCTTGAGTACAGTTTTGATGTGATAATTCATTGCAAGACAGTTTCATTTAGAGATATTTTAATTATTTGTGGTGTTGGTGCTTATAGAGTGGTTTCCTGTTATCTTATTCAGTCAAGTGTTTTTTAGTCAAAAATGTAGTGATAATAAGGTGGCGGTGCAAGAAATTGGAGGATGGTAGAGGAGAGCCGGGGATCGCTTAAAAGCTTTTCAAGGAAAAGGAATTAGAATAAAAATTGAATTTATTTAAAAAATATAATAAAGATATATTCACCTATATTTACTTTTATCTACATAAATCATTATAAGTGTGTATGGTATGTACATAATATGTATATATAGGATGTACTAGCTACATTCCTTCAATATGTACTAGGTATGTAACATCAATTGAAAAATGTACATATTAAGTACATACTTTGTACAGCAAAGTTCGTACATTGTACATACTTTATGTCCCATCAGTATGTACTTAGTTTGTCTTATGTACTTACTTGTGCTTACTGGGATATCATCTGCCCACTCTTTTGTGGTCTGCCTACTCCTCGCCTGTTCTCTATTGGTGTCCATTTTTCGGGATTATCTCGGGCAACCTGTCCGACACATTGCCACTTGAGCCTTGCTATACATTCTGCGACATCAGTACTTAATCTTTGTTCTTTCACGATGTCGATATTTCGAATCCTGTCTCTTAAACTAATCCCTAGAATGGCTCTCTCTATCGCTCTTCGGGTTGTACTGAGCTGCTCTAAGGTTTTCTTTGTAAAGGCCATGGTTTCCAGTCCATATGTAGTTATCAGGCAGGATACATTTGTCATAAATCCTACGTTTTAGACACATTGATATATCTTTATTCTTCAAGATAAAGCTTAACTTGCCGAAATCTACCCAAGACAATTGTATGCGCCTTTTTATTTCGGCTATTTGGTTTTCTTTGCCGATTTCAATGTCGTCCGCAAACCTCAAATGACTCAAACGTACACCATCAATGTTTAGACCTTTTTGCTCCCAGTTGAGCTGTTTGAATACATTTTCCAATGCTAAGGTAAAAAGCTTTGGTGAAATAGTATCACCTTGTCTAATACCTTTACCAAGACACATTTTTTCAGTTTTTTCGTCTTCATTGATTTTGATGTGAAATGTGGTCTGTTCATAAATGTTTTTAATAAGTGTAGTGTACCGTGAGTCTATTCGAGCATCCCTCAGGGCGGACAAAAAGGACCAAGTTACAATACTATCGAAAGCCTTGTGCTAGTCAATAAATGTCATATGTAGAGGTACATTATATTCTGTGGTTTTTTCTACCAGTGTTCTGATGGTTTGTAAGTGATCGTTAGTACCAAACCCTTTTCTAAATCCCGCCTGTTCAGACGATTGATATAAATCAAGTTTTGTATGATGCGGTTGGTTATTATCCTTGTTAGCAATTTGTATAAGTGTGACAACAAACTTATAGGTCTGTAGTTTTCAATATTAGTAGTGTCTCCTTTCTTGTGTAAAAGTATTATTTCGGCGTTTTTCCACAGACTGGCTATGTTGACACTTATTCAACAAAACTTCCACAACCTCTACAGAGATGTTACCGCCCATTTTTAACATTTCAGACGTTATACGATCCTCACCAGGAGCTTTTTTATTTTTCATTTGCTGTAAGACATGTCTAATTTCCGAAGAAGTTATTTTAGGGAGAGTTTCCGAGCCGAAGATTAGAATTGTTCTATGGTCTATTCCGGAATACTGTATAGCAGATGTATACAGATTCTCATAGAACGTTTGTATTTCCTTGATTATTTGAGTGTTTTTCCATCACCGTATTGCCCTGTTCGTTTCTGATTTGAACACTACAGTTATTTGGGAGTAAATCACGGGGTATATAACATAATGAAAATAGGAAAATTTAGAATCCAAAGCTATTGAAATGATAATGGATGGATAGAGTGGAACTTAACGGAATCCCACTGAAAATAAAATAATTTTTTGTTACTAACACTCCTGCTTGAAATATTGTGTAAAAGTATTTTCGAGGGCTACTATTGATATTTCAATGGATTACAGTTAAAACTTCTGTTAGTTGCCAGTGCAAAGTTTGTGTAGGAATCCTATAAAAGAAAATAAAACACTTTTTCTTATAATTTAATAATTTCTTTGTTTTATATCACACGTATACATATTTTCTTTTACAGATCTGTTGTTAAGCTATCCATGTAGAGATATTTTGTATAACATTACAATTCGTGAACGCAAATTTTCCACACTTGCTTGTGCTATATGTAAAACGTCAAAAGATGACACACATATTATTTAGTAACATCAAAATTAATTTCATTTAAAATATTTATCTATCTATCTTACCTATACTTTATTCCATAAAGCTGTACAAGAGATGTAAACATAACCATGTTTATAATGGATATTTTTATGATATTAAATACAGTACGACAAGAAAGAAATGGCTTCTTGCAGGTTGACTAAATTTTGTATTATTACATAATTTTTATTCCTTCTCTGACCGTCAAGCGGAAGAGATCATGCTCCTAACGTTTTTAGTGCAGTGTTGTCAAGATTGAAATATTTGTTTAAGGCGGCACAGGCATATTTTAGAATTAAAATGGAAAGTTTATTGAAAAATTAATATTTAACATCTCAATTATTTTTAATCTGTTTAAATTTACTATAGAAAAAGCTAATACAGATAAGCTTTTAGTAAATCTGAAAAAAGTATAAGAGCGTGTGCCTAATTTAAGGGGTAATTAATTTAAAGATAAATTAATTTAATGATAATTATAAACAAAATTAAACAATGTACAGCTAGTTACTAAAAAAATTGATAAGACTTTTAAAAAGTATTTTGTAGAAAATTGAGCAGTGTATTTTAAAGAATAAATACTTATTATTTACATACTGTCACTGCCAAATCTTACAATTTGTCAGATAAGTTATTCTGTTCAACCTCAAAAAGTGGCTCCACAAGCTAGCAAAAAACTAAAAGCAAGAATTGTAACGAAATTAGATGTTTGGTCACTATCTGCCATAACGAACCATTTTAACGTAAGCAGAACAACAGTTTTAATATGAATAAAAAATGGAGAGAATAAGAAACTCGAAAAAAAGCAAGGTTCTGGAAGACCAAAAATATCTACCTGCTCATGAAGATCGTACGCTTTTTATGCGTACTATTTACAGATAAGAAAATTTTTCAATCTTCTAAAAATGTCAAAATTTGGGTGTATAGACCAGATAATAATATATTTAATCCTCTATATGTTGATAGATATCAAGCAGCTGGTCATTTTAGCGCCAACGTATAAGGATGCATTTCATTTAGAGGAATGGGAATGGTGGAATGCCGTATTGATGGCAGGTTTGTTGGGCAGACTTATCTGGATATTCTAGTAAACATTATGTTTCCCAGTATAAAACAGTTGTATCCAGAAAATAATTTTATCCTCCAACACGATAGTTGTCCTGTTCAAACTGCAAATATAATAAACCAGTGGCTCCAGAATAACAATAGAAACCTCACTATGGCCCAGCTACAGTTCAGATTTAAACCCAATCGAGAATGTGTATGGGGTTATTATAAAACGGTTGTATCGGCGTAATTTTATACCTCAAAATGCTGAAGTGTTTCTCTTCAGCATTCAGGTTTGGGAAGAGCTCTCTGAAGAAGACAAATTCATAGTTCCTTTCACGTAGATGGACCGAACACTACAAGCTGTTATCAATGCTGATGGAAATATTAAATAACCTTGATGAAACCGGTATTCCTAAGAATCCTAAAGTTATAACACCAAGGGAAAAACGTTGAATTGTAAAAGTGTCATCGGCAGAAAGAGGTATAAATGTAACAGCGGTCTGTTGCATGAATGTAGTGGAAATTGTATACCACCATTTTTAATTTTCCCAAAAGTGAGAGTGCAACCAATATATATGGTCAACACGCCACCTGGATTCGTTGGGATTGCACATAAATAGATTAGATAAATTCAGAAAATTTCATAAAATACCTACACCACTTTATCCAGCATGCTAGACCGAACGATAGAATACTGTTGTTAATGAACAACCACGCTAGTTATCTCGAGAAGCTATTAATTTGTGCCGGGAAAATTTTATTTCTGTGATCGAATTTTAACCCCACACAAGTCGCAGAATGCAGCCGCTGATGTTACCGTATTGACCTTTGAAAACTGCACACTGCGTAATAACTTCCTAATAAATAACTCGCTAAATCTATAACTCTACATAATATAGCCTCCATTTTTGGTAAAGCATATTTGCAAGTTTCAAGGGTTGCTAATGTCATAAGTGGCATTAGAGCCACTGGTATAGAACTATTTGACTCAAAATTATTCACCGAACTTGACTTTCAAGCATCAAGAACAACAGAAAGAGAATTAAAAAGAAAAAGATAGTCAAGTCAAGACAAGAAAATTAGTTTACGGATTCTAAAGAGAATTAACTTCAACGCCAATAGAAGAATCTCACCAACCAGAACTCAACTTAAATGAAATTGTGGAAGCTAATATCTTGCCAGAGTCAGTGCCTTCAACTTCTGGAGTAAACAGCGCTAAGCCGTCACCACTAATAGACAGTCATTCTATGCCTCCAACTTCAAATTTAATTCGCTGCCACGAACCTCAACCAAGAAAATCCAAATAACAATTGGATTACCTCCTCTACCTCAAGCACTCATAAAAAAAACTCTTGGAAAGAACTACCCTCTCTGATCTTTTCCAGCACACCTGTAAAATATGCTATGGAAGAAAAACAAAAGGAAAAACTCGACAAAGAACGAAAAAAGAATTGAAGTCAGCTGAAAAGCCACAGAAACTAAAAACTACAAAAAATACAAATAAAAAAAGATAAGAAAAAATAAAACAAATGAAAACACAAAATCACTGTTATTAGATTCTTTTTCTTCAGAAAGTTCATTTTTCATGACAATTATAACGGTATAGATCTAGAGAATGAAGAAGACGACAAAGTGTGTTTAATTTGCAAAATGAAGAAAGCAAAAACAACGAGTTATGATTTCGATGTGACACGTGCTCTGAATGGGCTTATTCTGAATGCACGGATCTAAACTTAAAAGAAGTGAAGGCTAGAGTATGGGTGTGCGACTTTTGTTACAATTAAAATTAAGAAAAAAACTGTTTGTGCTAACTTAAGTGTTTGGTACTTAATTAAAGGACTGTTTCATTTATCATCAATTCTTGCATTTTTTATGTTCAAATTTGTTTTTTTCATTTAAATTTATATTTTTCGATTAGGTATTTTCCTTTCGTCAACTACCCTACGTCGTCAACTTATCACGCTTGTGGGAAGACAACGAGGATGCATCTTCTTTTTTTTTAATTAAAGACAAAAAATGTCATATTATGTGCAAGTAAAGTTCTAAATATAATAAAATTTAATTTGGAAAAAGAAACGTTATTTGGATATTAGCCTTAAGTTCGCCCTTTTCCTTGCCTATATTAAGTATTATTATGAAAAGAGTTCAGGCTGAAAACTTTGTCATTTTGAAAAGTATGATAGTGCAAAATAAGTATTATAATCTATTCTTTTGCTCAACAAAATAATTAAATAAATAATGTGTTTGGCAACAGAAATATTAGTACCCATCTAAATGTACCGAATCATTTTTATAAATGTTTACATCTCCTGCACCACTTGCTGAATTAAAGTATAGAAAACAGTCATTATTAACTCATACAACAGGTTTAACAGAATTAAGTAAATACATAGTATGCTTCGACCTGACGTGACTTCTTAAAGTGTCTATGCGACTGTATGTAGCTGGGCAGTATGGACAAAATGATCTCTGCGTCGTATGGGAGTGAAAATGATGCCATCTGTTAGTAACTTCTTTGCTACAAGCTTTGCACCTCCACAAGAGAGCATTGGTGGTAGAGGACTCAAACATTTCTACATATGATAGAGCTGAGCCGCCATTGGATTCTGTAAATCAAAATCAGTATTAGAATATACAATATCTTGTATTACCTTACGTTTCACAAGGTATATACAATATGCACAAAGAATTTATGTTAATTGAAATAAATTTAATGGTCTAGTAATGTCCTGATATTATAAACCGTAATGACAAGTAAAAATATATAATACCTAAGATAAATTTCTTGAACACGATATGTATACAGTGGTTGTTAAAAACATCCCCAAAATATTATCTGAATCCTACAAAGTAAATTATTCAAGTTCTAAATGAAGTAAGATACCTGAAGTCGTAGGCTTCCACGGCCAGAGTCAGAATTATAGTTTATTCGTCTTCCGGGTTTGGACCGTGTCATTTGTGAGTGACCCAAAAGTGGGTTCATCTCGACGTTTCGCTACAATTGTATGTAGCTTCTTCAGGAGGACAAAGAAAAAGAAATCAAAGGACAGGAAGAAGGGTAGTTAGCAACGGTAACTCAGTTACTCAACGCAACCAGAGGCGAATACTAACTACCAAGATGGGCATTTGGTCACAGTAACCTCTCGACGCGTTAGTGTTCTGAGCTGTTGGACGTGAATCCCTGTCCTGGCATTTGGTTTTCACCTCTGGCTGCGTTGAGTAGTTGAGTTACTGTGACCAAATGCCCATCTTGGTAGTTAGTATTTGCCTCTGGTTGCGTTGAGTAACTGAGTTACCGTTGCTAACTACCCTTCTTCCTGTCCTTTGATTTCTTTTTCTTTGTCCTCCTGAAGAAGCTACATACAATTGTAGGGAAACGTCGAGATGAACCCACTTTTGGGTCACTCACAAATGACACGGTCCAAACCCGGAAGACGAATAAACTATAATGAAGTAAGATACCTGTTCATGAAATTTCAGCGACGCAATTATTAAAACAGTTGCCATTTTGTAGATCTTTAAGAAGGATCGTATGACTAGTAATATCTCGTGTGAAAAGTCGGTTCATGTTGCCTTCAACGTTGAATGACATCTACACAATTGAGTTTTACTTCGGAAATCTCAAAATATTCATTTCAAATACTCGCATTTTTTGCGTTTTGTTGTATCGTATTTTGTGGATTATAAAACTTACGTTGTTTTGGGTAACCAGACTAAGCCACCTTATAGTTTTTGGTGAGATTTGAGCCATCTTGACCAATACTATCAACCACAGAGTTCTATTAAATAACCTAGAAGTCGAACTTCCTTTGATCGTATTAAAACATAATTTAGGCTGACTAGAAGACTAGAAGGGGACGAGAATTTTAAAATTACATTTGACTGCATATAAGACAATATTAAAATATCTTGTTTCTGTTAGCTTTATTTATGCTTTTAATCACGGAATAATGAAGTGTGGGACTTCATTTATCAACTTAAAACTTGTAGGCAAGCAAAACGATTATTTTATAACAATTACAAAAAATATCTATTCCGTGGGTTTAATTTGGTTGACTCACCGGGTTAGTTGACGCAGTGCGATTTTCTTAAAACCAAGAAACTTGGCAATCACGCCTTACACAAGTTCCAAGGCTTCCCACTTCCCAGTCTTTCTACAAAGCATCCAAGGTTAGTAGATATTTAAGTCTAACTTAAAAGTTAAACTTAAGTTAACTAAACTATCTACTAACCTTGCAAAGCACCGGCACCCGGCACACTCTCGGAACTCGGAAGGCCGTTTCAGTTTGACGCCAAGCAAGGCTGCTAGATCTAGGGATTTATCCCGAATCCAGAGATATTTTAGTATAAAAGGGACAAATGGATTTCTTTTATATTCAGTGTAAAATCTAGGGATTTTTGACGGGCTGAAATATTTACCTACATAGGTCTATTATATTAACACTTTCTTCATTACAAATAATTAAACTACTAGTAAGGATTCTATTATAAGATGTCGTTAACTGTCCACGTTCTTGGAATCTTTATTTTATGCTACCAAATAGATTTCTGCCAAAAATAGATTTCTATATATTTTCAGAAAGGAGAAGCAAATTCTGGAGCAGGAATTAGGGGATTTACATAAATCTTAGGCTCTATAAAATAAATAATTGTGGGATTTACAGTAAGAATAGGGTGAATTGTAGGTTTCGTGGAAATATATAAATAAAATTATATGCTTCACCGTCTCATTTCTCTTCAAGTTGTATTTTGTATTAATCTTATTAAGTGAATAATACATAGATATTAATATATTTAATGGAATATTCAAAGCCATAAATAAGTACGTTATTCCGTTTTTGTTAAATTTATTCAAATCATCGCTATTGTACCGTTTAAAAATGTAATGTTTTTGAAATAAAGATATAAAACAACAATTATTTTTTTATATCCATATTATTATATTAGGCAACCATCAATACATCCTATCATTTTTATTCAGAATTAGGCAACCATATATACATTTATTATCCATCTACCATCTACGTTTTGCGGACGATAGCGTGCTTCTGTCAGATAATCTGGGAGAGATCAAAGACATGCTCCAAGAACTGAATGACATGGAAGGTTGAGAGAGATTTTTAAAACAAATATCACAATTCACCTAAAAAGGAAGGCATTTAACCAATGCATATTACCAGTCTTGACCTACGGAGCAGAGACCCTAACTTTAAGGAAAACTACTGCCGAAATACCGTGGGTAACAAAAAGGCGAATGGAGAGATCAATGCTGGGCCTGACCTTGAAAGATCGCGTGAGAAATGAGGAGATACGCCGACGAACTGGCGTCGACGATATTATACTGCGAGAATTAATAAACAAAATTGGAGGTGGGTTGGACATGTTGCTAGAATGGAAGACGGAAGATGGACCAAGAGCCGACAAGCGAAGTCGAGGCAGACCACCCACCCGATGGACCGACGACCTAAGGAGAATAGAAACAAACTGGATTGCAGCAGCTAGAGAGAACTAAAGACGTTTGGAGGAGGCCTATATCCAACAATGGATGTGAAAATGGGGCTGGATGATGATAATATACATTTATTCCAATCTAGGGATTTCAAAAATTTTCACCTGGCCACCCTGCGGCGGGATTACTAGTAGGTAGGGTGTACACTAGTGTACAGTGCGTTTTTTAGTTTTTTACAGTGATGAGTAAATTTTTATTATCATACATTTTTTGTTTTAGAAATTCCATTTTTAAAGATAAGAATTCGTTCTTTGTTTTAAATTGAAGCTTGGAACTACAACTATAAGATACAATAATGATATATATTTTTTAATTAATTAATATGGAGTCGATAACCATAAGTACCCAAATATGTGCACTGGGCCTGGTTGACGCATTTGATGAGGAGCTGGTTGACACATGCGTCAACCATCCACGAGTATAAATATAGTTTTACTGATTTTAAATTTTGTTTTGGAAAATGCGATCTTTTAAAAGAAAGTCCGAATAAGGTAAAACTGCACCAGATATTATGTTAGGAGCAGTTAGCGAGAAAAAAAATTTGGAAAATCCATAAGAGGGACTGCCAAAGATGTTAATATCTTTTAGCCAATTTTAAGGCGATATTGCAAGAAATTCACTAAGGAAGAAATGAAATGAAATCGTAGGCTTCCACGGCCAGAGTCAGAATTATAGTTTATTCGTCTTCCGGGTTTGGACCGTGTCATTTGTGAGTGACCCAAAAGTGGGTTCATCTCGACGTTTCGCTGCAATTGTATGTAGCTTCTTCAGGAGAACAAAGAAAAAAGAAAAAGAAATTAAAAGACAGGAAGATGGGTAGTTAGCAACGGTAACTCAGTTACTCAACGCAACCAGAGGCGAATACTAACTACCAAGATGGGCATTTGGTCACAGTAACTCAACTACTCAACGCAGCCAGAGGTGAAAACCAAATGCCAGGACAGGGATTCACGTCCAACAGCTCAGAACACTAACGCGTCGAGAGGCGGGGAGTGAAATTTCACTCCCCGCTTCTCGACGCATGAAATTTTACTAATTTTACTAGATGGGTAGTTGCTAACTACCCATCTTCCTGTCTTTTGATTTCTTTTTCTTTTTTCTTTGTTCTCCTGAAGAAGCTACATACAATTGTAGCGAAACGTCGAGATGAACCCACTTTTGGGTCACTCAGAAATGACACGGTCCAAACCCGGAAGACGAATAAACTATAAAGAAAGAAATGTATTGCGATGTAAACTCAACGAGTAAAGTGGGATATTTTGCGAAAGTCTAGGTATATATTTTTTTTATTAATAGTATATTTTGAACGAATATACATCTTAGGGACTATAAACGTATCTAAGAATATACCCATTTACTTATTATTTCAGGTGTTTTCGGTACACCACGAAAACCTTTTGGATCTTAAAATAGAAAGTGACATATATATTAGACTTTCTGTTAAAGAGGTACGGAAGTTTATGTTGGAATATGTGGCTTTAAATATCAAGTACCCAAAGTCCTGGAATGAACATCAAATGGTTGGTCCAGATTGGTTCACATCCTATATGAAACGGTACAATAACTTGTCAATAAGATCTCCAGAGGCAACCAGTCTAGCTAGAGATTCAAGTTTCAATAAAGAAAATGGATTCAAAGTTTTTTGCTAATTTACAAGCAGTCTTAAATCTTCTAAATCTGACAACAGCGCAAATATGGAACATGGATGAGACTGGAGTCACGACTGTACAGAAACTCAATAGAATTATTGCAAGGCGTGGATTCAAGCAAGTGGGTCGGATTAGTTTACAAGAACGTAGTACTTTATTAACTGTTGCTGTACCTGCGATAGGAAATTCGGTTCTTTAACTTTTTATTTTTCCCAGAGTCCACTTTAACGATCATTTTGTATCATCAGGCCCTCTCGTATCAGTCGAAGTATATAAACATTTTAAATATGTTGGATCTTCTTTGGAGTGACCAAATTTGCTCCTTCTGGACAATCATGATTCGCATTTGTCGAGAGTGGCTCTAAATTATTTAAAAAGTAAAGGAGTAACAGTTTTATCATTTGCATCTCATT